TTTTGTGTTGCAGTTTTTTTCACAATGATTTGACTATTTCTTACCATCCGCTACGGCGCGTGTACGCCGCGCGGCTCGGTAGTGCACACCGCGTCGCATACGCGTCGCGTGGCCGTATTATGTGACAAAACATTTCGGTTCTGAACGGGTTATGAATTATGCCTCCGTGTGTGCGTGTTTGTGAATAACCTACAACTCGTCCATTTCTTACCGCAGGCTCGTCGCGTTACTCGCCACCACATGGTCGCGCTGAAGCGACGCCATTATTGCGACGGGCACAACACGACAATGACGACGACGGTGTCTTCGAGGATATACGCGCGTTCTCGCGCGGCAACACCGTAACCGTTTCGCCTACCGTACACCATGACTCCAATGGAAATGGTGTGTTAACTAGCTTTGCTAAACTGTTACCACGCGCTATTCCAGTGAGGTGGGGTATTTTGTGCGAGAAGACGCAGGGAAATGGGAAGAGTTGCGGAGACGCTTAACCGCATGAGCGGAGACTCATAAGCGTTGTGCCCTTTTCATTGACCGACTCCTATGCAACGTATTAACAGGAGCATGTCGAGAAGGAAAACACCACGGCTACGAGTCTCCGCCCATTTGGTCCTGCAGAATGTGTCTTTAAGTCAGTGGGGTGTTAGGGAAGTTTGTCAGTTTTGGCTAATCCCAAGGTGAGAAGGAAGCTTCTAGTGGGTGAAAGAAGATTTTTTTTCTCTTGAAGTGGTGGTTTCAATTACTTCGGGCGGCACCAGAATGCCCCTTCTCACTGGAGTGCCACTAGAATAGCGCCATATTACCATCCAGTAGGCTTTAGAGGTCGAAAGTACTAGAGCCTTTTGCAAAGAGAATCCGTTTTTCTGACACCCTAATAACTTTAGTTGAATAATGCCGCATGAAAAAAAAACCCGCATGTGCTCACGAAATTGTTTTGAATGCTCTCACCTAATTTTCCCTTTTCAATATGAATGCTCCCGAATATGCACGAGTCGTCCGCCCAAGCTTTCACGAGTTACTGGATTTGGGTAGACACTCTCATTATAATATTTTGAGCAGGCAAAAGGAGGGACGCGCAGAGAAACACTTCTGAGTGTCTCAGTGTTCACCTAGCTAACTCGTGTTGGTCAGCAATGTTTCAGTTTGTGTGTTCGAGCTAGTCCGAGTTCTTTTGAAAAAGGCTGTCTGTTCAGCACAGAGTTACTATTCAGCACAAAGCAACTTATCACGCCGATTATCGATTTATGGTATCAGTTATCTATTCAGGTGCTGGGCAATTTCGAGCGTATGATGAGCGTGAAACGAGTATAGAGGACCAACGAATCGTACAACTCACACGACGTTTGAATACCATTGAGAAGTGAGTCATTGGAGCCTATTTTGCCTTATTCCTCATGAGCAGGCGGTAGTTAGGGTTAGCATACATCGCCAACCAGTAAGGTAGCTGGCCGTTACGGCGTTGTGTCAAAGATTCGCGATGTATGTCACGGCGATGTATCGAGATTTTCCAGTGTGTGTCACGTCGTGTTGAAATGTTGCGGTGTATGTCACGGCGTTGTACTGGAATTTTGCGATGTTTATCATGGCAATGAGGTACATGCCACGACGTGGACTACACCCATTAAAAAAGCGTCTAGTACAAAACTTGTTCCCTCATAAACAGCCAATAGTGCTCGAACATTGGCTCGCAATGTATGTCACGGCGATGTTTATACCATGAGAAATGTAGCGCAATCAAAGCGTCTTATGTACCGATTGAAGTAGGGAAGCGTGTGTGTTCGAGATAATTCTCTTTGCTACATGCTTCATGAAAAGCGTGGTGCTGGCGAACAGCATTCGCCTGTGCGTGTCCTCGACCATGTCACTGCACGCGTTAGCTCTGAGGCGTTTCGTGCACAGGATGGATTAAGTAGGAGCGTGTGACAAGACAATCGTAGTAAAGGTTGATATCATTCGACATCTAGTTATACGTCTGTATGAATTCATGTGAATTCTACTGCTCCTATCGATAAGTCGATGCAAGGATGACGCTGCCGCACGATGCGCCGCGCGCGACGAACACCGATTGTCTTGTCCGTCTTCCAAAAAGGAGTACATATCAAAATCACATTATTTGCCGTAATCCTCTAAAGACAAACGACATTTAGTGATGTATGTCACGACGATGTGCGTCGTATGACTTTACTTCTTGGGATCACGGCGTCTCAAGCAAGGGCGGGTGCGCATCGAATTATCTGAAGGCTCATCAAACATTGTAAGATTGGTATTGAATGAGACTTTGCGAAATGCGAATGGTCACCGGAGGGAACTGAGCAGGGCGCTTGCTAAACATATTTGTAGAGCAGAGGGGGCGGGGGGGGTATTTAAAGGTGCCAAGAGTGTTTCAACGAAACTTGCATGTTGTCTGTTTAGTTCTGCAGAGATGTCAATCGAAAAATCCTCTCTAACCTACATCACCGGATTGGGTTCCCTTTCCTTCGTGTATTCTTTGTCAAAATTCTTACTCCAACATCTTTATGATATTCCTCGACCTAAAAGTGCATTCGTGTTACATACATCGCCGTGACATACACTACCGATCGATTACTTCTCGATAATAACAAATGCGTTACATACATCGTCGTGGCATACTCGCTAATCGCAGTTCTTCACAATCTGAACGGTCTTTATGGTTTTTCCTAGAATCGTTGCACCGCTGTTGATCCGCTGTTTTTCAGCCAACTGGAGCGGATGCAGAACAAGATGAACACCGATTTTGAATTACTGATTCGATTGATGAAAGAGCACGGGAAAGCACCCTCGTCCTCTGATGGTAATTCTCCATTCTTCACATTCACAAGGCCTAACCATATAGCCGAATCCAGCCCAAACGCTGAATTTTGCCCCTTCGATTTATCAACTGTGCTTCGTTTCAGAATCAGTCGATTCAGTACGTCCGCGACGGGTGGTGTCGATCAGTCCAGGTGAGATTGTTCGGCTGCCGAATGGAGGTGATGAGATGCGCGTAAGTGTTGTTATTGCACTTTTTTCGGTGTTGTTCGGCTTGGAGAGGGCATTTCGCGCTTTGCTACTTCGCTCTGTTAGTTCACACTGTGGTGAAATCTGCAAACTCCTGTGAAGATGTGAAATGGGGCAATCGCGAGCCATTTCAGTCACAGAAATTTACAGGCTTTCATAGGGTGACCTGTATTAGCTCAGCCGAGTGCCGATCGATGCTCCCTCCAAGTCGAACTGCGCCCTTTTTTCCACCGCACCTCCTTGTCCATCCTAACTTACTCAATCTACCGTAATCATCATCGGAGGAATCGAGCGTTCCAAAGCGATGCATGTAGGTCACGACGTGTGGCATGTGTGTGGCATGACTGCATGTCTCAGGACATGTGTATTTTATCTCTTAGAAACCGGAAATCTGATCGACATTGATCGATTTTTCGATTTAGGAGAAGAACTCGTTTTCAGCACCTTCAGTCGTTACCACTGAAATCTGTAGGGACATGTCAGCGCGACGCGGCTTCTGTCGCGGCGCCAGCCCATTTATCAATCGATGTAGCTTTGGTTTTGCATTAATGGTGAGAAAGGAGCTAGCGCCGCGCCAAAAGCCACGCCCCGCTTACATGCCCTGACCGACTTCAGTGATAACGACTGTACCATAGTTCTCGGCACCGTTCAATTACTACTACGACGGGAACTTTTGCCTCTAGGGATTATCTAGTGCCCTGTTCACGAATATAGCATTCGTTTCAGCGCGGGCGCCAACCAGCGCCAATTTGGCGCCATCGCCTTCTCCGCCAAAGTTGCTATAAACTTGCATACCAGGGTTGTTTGATGTCCCGATTAAAACTCTTCTTTTATTTTAAGCGCAGCCGCCATTTGGCACCGGAATGGCACAGGGGCCTACTTGAGGCCACGATTTCCTCACCAAATTCGATTCTGTTTTGCATATGGGATCAACTGGGAGTCGCGATTACGAAAATGTCATCCATTTTCGGTCATGGACGTGATACAGTGCTTTGCCAAGACTCGAAAACAAGAACTATGAAGCAACTTTGAAAACTGCGCATGAAATTAAATGGTTCATTCCCGTGAACGCATACATTTAAGCATACCGTGAGCTCGTATAGCTGTAGAGGTACGTTTATTGCCCTGTGTTGCACTCCTCTTGCTCTGCCCAAACGGTTGAATCTTTGGGAAGAATGCAGCGCCAAACGCAATCCACAGCCCAAGCCATGGTCTTCCCTTGTCATTAGGAAAATTTTCTGCAAAATACGATCCCCTCCAAGTTTTCTGCCCTACTACGACCCCCTCCCCATCCTACCAATCACCTTTCATCTGAATTTAATTCCCAGTTTTTTGGCACTTTTCGTGGACGATGAATGGAGATTCTTCCGTTGCAGCCTCCCCCCCCCCCCCCCCGGGAAAAATAGTTGCCGGTGGCGGTCAAGCCGACAAGGAGGGAGTGAGTATGGGAATACCAGTGTTGAAATTGGAAGAAAAATTAATTAGTTAAGTTAAAGCCATTTTCCAAATTGCGACGACGCCTCCCGTCTACGACCGATACGACTTTTCATAACCCAATCCACTGGGTATCCCAACGAACCCGCTGTTTTCGCGACTATATCGCGCAATTCTGCGAAAACACTGCGCATATGTTTTTGTTCTATTTGCGACTGTTATATTCTACTAGCATTACATTTGCACAATTAAACACTATCAAATACGTACAGAAAAAAATTCCTTTAAAAATACGCCAAAAACAACGAACGGAACAAGAGATTTACTGGGACGAAACGCCTTTCGCCTCGATATGTGTTAAGATACTGCATATCTCTTGTAATCCTGAAATCTAATCTGAGGACGAACTTCGAGTTGGGGGTCGTATTTTGCAGAAATAACCCTCCAAGGACAGGTTTAGGTCGTACCCTGAGCACGACCCCCTGGCTGAGCGGATGGATGAATGCGTCGCTCTTTCGCCGGTTTTGTAATCTTGCAAAATTCGCCGAATATTAGCTGGCGAAATGTGCCTCCTTGTGGCCACACCATGGGTTTATATCCGCCAAGAGTCAACGAGTAATCGCCCACAGCATGGTTTCAGCAGAAAACATGAGTTCTTGGAGTAGTAGTAAATGAATAGTGCCTAGTTCTCTGATGATGTGATGATGTTGTAGTTTGTCAGAAAAGTCGAATGTTTCCCAGAGTGCCCTTTTTCCCCATTATAACTGTCCTGTCATCGTTCGCACTAACATTACCATTGTGCTTAATGCGTTATTGCAGTATTTGAAGGTGTCGCGATTATCGAGTCACGAACCTCCGTCGTTACCGACCAGTAGAAGTTCAGACGATGCTGATACACTGTTGTGATGTAGGTGTATCTCAATAATGCATTTTTTTCTTTTTTTATCAAATGTTCTGGTAAACCTGTGTGGGGAGGGTCGACTAGAAGTAGTGTTCACCAATTAGTGCATATACCACAAGAAATAGGAAGGATTTTTTACTGAGAAAGACTTATGTGAAAATGTCTGCGTAGATATGATGCGTGCGGCAGCGACGCATTCGGTCATGTTGGCTCGCTCATGTGCGCCCTTAGACCTTTCATGTTAGACAGGAGCACGCCGGTAATTTGAAGTGAAAAAAGTAATCCTCTCACGGTTAAAGATGACGGGTTTGACTCCCAGCACGCATGCGGTCGCGACGCGGCCCCGCCAACTGCTCTACAAAGCCATTTGCTCATGGCTGGAAGCGCACTTTTCAGGTCCTATTACATGACATGCCCATGACTAGCCCAGTATGGGTCCTGAAAAGTGGTAAGACAAAAATTCTTTTTACCTGAAGAGTTGGATCTGAGACTGTCGGCATGGACCGCGCGCGGTCGCGACATGGCTCGACCGGATAACTGGTGCACTTCTCGTGTACCATGTTACGCCCCCACGCCCTTCTCTCGCCATCCCTGTGAGACCGATAATGCTGAACTTGAATCCTCCAAGAACCGCACAGGAAGCATTATAACTCTCAGAACATCGTATCTTGAACAGTCTGCATGGGTCGCGTGCGATTGCCACGTACATAGTCCGCATAGTACCCCTCTGCCGCCCTTCCGTAGTCCGCCTCAGACCGGCAACGTCAGACATCAAGAACCAGGAATAGAAATATTTGTTCTTCATAAGAAAAGACGAGACTGCAGCTATGAGCCGCGTGCGGTCGCCAGCTAGCTGACTACTAGTGTACTCCAGTGACTTGTTGCCTTGCGTCCTTCTAGACCGCTCGTAATGGACCCGAAAGCTCCCGATTAATTGTAGTGGAGAAAGCTATTCTTGCTTGCCGTTGCAGCGCGGCTCGCCTTGGTACTCAACGTGAATGACGTTGTTCCGCTACGACCTTCATAGACCAGTCATGTAAGACCCAAATATTTTGCGGACCAGCATTAAAAACAGAATTAGAAAGGGGCACTATTTCCCAGGAAATCAAACCTGAGACTGTCGGCATAAAGCGCACGCGGCTGCGAAGCGCTTCAGCCAGAAAACCATAGCAGGAAAATCATGAATGGTGCCGTCATTGGCCCGCGTCTACCGTACATCCTTCTAGGACCAGCAATTTTAGGTGTGTCAACTCAGCACCCGAGGCGCTGCCGGGGTGTTTCAGTGGGAGGGGGATAAGTTTGGCGCGGCGCCAGCCCGTTTTCTACGAATTCTTATAATATGGCCAATTAGGACAGAGTTCCACGTCGACTGACTGATTCCCACAGGTCTGGAGTATATTTGACAAATCAAATTACGACTCTGCGTCCTGGGGGTTCAGAAAGGGAGAGACTGGGTTCGGCGCGGCGCCAGCCCGTTTTTCAGCAATAGTTGTCGCTTGTTCTTTAGCAATTAGTGGAGAACGGCTGTCGCCGCCCTAAACGCACCGCTCTCCACCGCACGGAGACGGACAAGACAATCGTAGCTGTCGTCTACGGCGGTCGTGCGGCGATGCGCGACAAATTCTGCCCTAACTTGCCATTTGAAGCAGCGAGACTCATATGATTTCAAGCCGAGACAAGAGTCCATAACGGGCGAGTACAGGATTTCTCTGTTCCTTTTGCTCATCTCCAAACGACCACCTAGGAAAACTCGTCCGTCCAATGCGGCGTCGCTCGCTCCGCTTACCACTGCGGGATGTTACGATTGTTTTATCACACACCCCCACCAACGAAACTGTATGTGATTTAAATCATAACTTTCTTTTTAGGACCTGCTCACTTCTCAGCGTTCCTTGCCCAACATAATGTGCCACACTCCATTTTATTCCTCGCCACGTCTACAGTCTTATCATGTCGAGAACCTTCACGCCAGAGATTATCCTCTTTATCACATCTAACAATCATCGTAGTGCCATTACCGGGTTTCACCGGACTCTAACTGTCGATCGTCACACATCAACATACAAAAACTCGTTCAGTGATCATCGCGCTTGACGACAAAAGGGTTTGTACTGCCCCTCCATGGTATCTTTCCTTGAACATGTTTGGCCTTCCATATCGTTTGTATTAACATCGTATATATACCATATGTATAAATACAGAGCACACGGTCTTTGCGAGAATATCACGCTCTATTGCGAAATCCTGCCCCATGGCGAGCGTCACCCTTATTGATCTGAAAACAGCCCTCGTATGGCGTGATTTTCTCACACAGACATATATACCTATCTTGTTCCGCAATCTGTATAT